ATGTGGTATTTGATTTTCCTTTCCTGCGTTAGTTTGCTGAGGATAATGTCTTCCATTTCCATCTGTATCCCTGCAAAGAACATAATCTCATTTCTTTTATGGCTGCATAGTATGCCATGATGTATATGTACCACATTTTCTTTATCCAGTCTATCCTGGATGGCCATTTAGGTTGATTCCATGTCTTTGCTATTATGACTAGTGCTGCAATAAATATATGTGTGCATGTGTCTTTATTACATAATGATTTATATTCCTTCCGGTATATACTCAGTAATGGATTCATGAGTCAAATGGTATTTCTGCGTCTAGGTCTTTGAGGAATTGCCACCCTCTTCCAGAAAATTTGAACTAATTTACACTCATGTGAACAGTGTAAAAGTGTTTCTTTTTCTTTACAACCTTGCCAGCATTTGTTGTTTATTGACTTTTTAATAATAGCCATTCAAACTGATAAAAGACACTATCTCATTGTGGTTTTGACTTGCATTTCTCTAATGACCAGTGATGTTGAACTCTTTTTCATGTTTCTTGGCCACATATATGTCTTCCTATGAGAAGTGTCTGTTCATGTCCTTTGCCCACATTATAATGTTTTTTTTTTTTCTTGTAAATTTGTTTATGTTCCTTGTAGGTACTGGATAGGAGACCTTTGCCAGATGCATAGATTGTAAAAATTTTCTGCCATTCTGTAGGTTGTCTGTTTACTCTGTTGATCATTTCTTTTGCTATGCAAAAGTTCTTTAGTTTAATTAGATCCCATTTGTCAATTTTTGGTTTTGTTGCAATTGCTTTTGTCATCTTTCTCATGAAATCATTGCCAATGCCTATATCCTGAATGGTACTGCCTAGCTTGTGTTCCAGGGTTTTTTAGGTCTGAGTTTTACATTTACATCTTTAATACATCTTGAGTTAATTTTTGTATATGGTATAAGAAAGGGATCCTGTTTCATTCTTCTGCATATGGCTAGCCAGTTCTCCTAGCACCATTTGTTAAATAGGCAATCCTTTACTCATTTTCTTGTTTTTGTTAGATCAGATGGTTGTAGGTGTGTGGTCTTATTTCTGGGTTCTCTATGCTGTTCTATTGGTCTATGTGTCTGTTCTTATAACACTACCATGCTGTTTTAGTTACTGTAGCCTTATTATATGGTTTGTTGTACAGATTATTTCATCTGTACAACAGGTATTAAGCCTAGTACCTATTAGTTATTCTTCCTGATCCTCTCCATCCTCTGATAGGCCTCAGTGTGTGTTGTTCCCTTCTATATGTCCATGCTTTCTTATCATTTAGCTCCCACTTGTAAGTGAGAACATGTGGTATTCGATTTTCTGTTCCTGTGTTAGTTTGCTAAGGATAATGGCCCCCAGCTCCATCCATGTCCCTGCAAAGGACATAATCTCCTTCTTTTTTATGGCTGCATAGTATTTAGAATGATTTATATTCCTTTGGGTATATACCCAGTAATGAAATTGCTAGGTCTAATGGTATTCCTGTCTTTGGGTCTTTGAGGAAACACTGCACTATTTTCCACAATGGCTGAACTAATTTACACTCCTACCAACAGTGTATAAGTGTTTCTCTTTCTCCAAAACCTCACCAGCATCTATTATTTTTTGACTTTTTAATAATAGCCACTCCTACTGGTATAAGATGATATCTCATTGTGATTTTGATTTGCATTTCTCTAATGATCACGGATGTTGAGGTTTTTTTTTATTTTTTCTTTCAAAAATTGCCTGTTCATTTCCTTTGCCCAATATTTATGGAGTTATTGGTGTTTTTCTTCTAGTACATTTCTTTAAGTTTTCTATAGATGCTAGATATTAAGCCTTTGTCAGATGCATAGTTTACAAAATTTGTCTCCCATTCTGTAGATTTTTTGTTTACTCTATTAATAGTTTCCTATGCTGTGCAGAAGCTCTTTAGTTTAATTAGATTCTATTTGTCAATTTTTGGTTTTGTTGCAGTTGCTGTGGCATCTTTATTATGAAATTTTTGCTCCTGCCTGTGTCCTGAATGGTACTGCCTAGCTTGTCTTCCAGGGTTTTTATAGTTTTGGGTTTTACATTTAAGTCTTTAATCCATCTTGAGTTAATTTTTGTATATGGCGTAAAGAGGGGGTCAAGTTTCATTCTTCTGCATATGGCTAGTTAGTTATCTCATTGCCATTTATTAAATAGATAATTATTTCCTCTTTGCTTCTTTTTGTTAGGTTTGTTGAAGATGAGATAGTTGTAGGTCTATGGTCTTATTTCTGGGGTCTCTATTCTGTTCCATTTGTCTAGGTGTCAGTTTTTCTATTAGTACCATGCTGTTTTGGTTACTGTAGCCCTGTAGTAGAGTTTGAAGTCAAGGAGCAAGAATGATGCCTTCAGCTTTGGTTTTGTTTTTATTTTTGTCTTTTGTTTGTTTGATTTTTGCTTATGATTGGCTTGCTATTTATTCTCTTTTTTGGTTCCATATGAATTTTAAGATCATTTTCTCCGGTACTGTGAAGAATGTTAATGATAGTTTAATAGGAATAGTATTGAATTTATAAACTGCTTTGGGCAGCATGACCATTTTAAGAATATTGATTCTTTCTATCCATGAACATGGGATGTTTTTCCATTTGTTTGTATCATCTCTGATTTCTTTGAACAGTGGTTTGTGGTTCTTCTTGTAGAGATCTTTCACCTACCTAGTTAGCTGTATCCTAGGTATTTTCTTTTTTTTGTGACAATTGTGAATATGGGCCCACTTATGACTTGGCTCTTGGCTTGACTATTATTGGTGTATAGGAATGCTAGTGATTTTGGCATATTGATTTTGTATCCTAAAATTTTGCTGAAATTGTTTATCAGTTTAAGAAACATTTGGAACGAGATCCTGGGGTTTCTAGATATAGGATCATGTTATCTGAAAACAGGGATTGCTTGACTTCCTCTTTAGATACCTTTTTTCACTTGCCTGATTGCCTTGCTAGAACCTTCAATAGTATTTTGAATAGGAGTGGTGAAAGAGAGCATCCTTATCTAGTGGTAGTTTTAAGGAGGTTTTCCTACTGTTTTCTCTTTTGCACTGTTCTAATGAGAACTTTGCTGTAATTCTACCTTTCTTCCTCACTATATAATGTATTTTCCCCATGCCTTGGGCACTTTTATGATATATTATATTGGGTTATGATATATTTGGGGGACTGTATTAGATTTCCAGGACTGCCATAACAAAATACCACAAACTAAGCACTTAATCAACAGAAATGTATACTTCACAGTTCTGGATAAAATAGCATTCTGAAATCAAGACGAACAGAGTTGTTCCTCTTGAGGGCTATGAAAGATAATCCCTTCTCTGCCTTTGCCCTAGCTTCTGTTGGTTTACTAGCAATCTTTGGCATTTCTTGTCTTATGGATACATTACCCCAATTTTTACCTTTCTGTTCACATGAAGTTCTTTCTGTGTCTCTGTCACTGTATCTAAATACCTTCTTTTAATAAGAACACCATTTATATTGAAAGTGCAAAACCATATTTCCCTCTCTGATCAAGTATCAAAAGTCTAGCTTTTGGTTCTTATATATTGCCCCAAAACTTGATGATCAGCCTAGATATCATGCTTCATATTCTGTTTTGGCTTTAACTTCTTTCAAATTCTGACACTGTGACTTTTAACCATATTTATTACAGGGTAATAGGAAAGGATATTTATTAGTTTATTTTTCATATTGCTAAATCTCTGTTTTCAGTCACATATATACAAACATGTACACAATCTTGTTTTTCTTTTAGATGTGCATTATATACATTTTCTAGTTATAAATTTACATTTATATAGAAAAATTGGACATGTTCTCAGATTTTTGCTTGTAATGATTAACAGCTAAGAAACATATCATAATTTATTTATCAAAGATAGATAATATGAAAAATACTTCGAGTCCACACTGTTAGCAACCATTTATTAATATCTTCTCACTTCAAATTTATTTTTTGTTTTCTTTTTGTCTTTGAGACAGGGTCTCACTCTGTGGCTGAGGATGGAGTACAGTGGTGCAATCATAGCTCACTGCAACCCCAGACTCCAGGGCTCAAGTCATCCTTGCCTTCTCATGAGTAGCTGGGACTGCAAGTGTGCATCACCTTGCTGGCTATTTTTAAACTTTTTTTTGTAGAAATGGAGTCTCACTATATTGCCCAGGCTGGTCTTGAATTCCTGGCCTTAAGCAATCCTCCTGCCTTGGCTTCCCAAAATGTTGGGATTACAGGTCTAAGCCACTGCACCTGGCCCAAAGTTCTTTTGTGTGATTGTGTCTGTATCTCTGGCTTCTGTCCTATCATTTCTTCACTTTACTCATTATACAAAACCTTTGGTAGGTCCCCATTCAGGCCCCCTATACATACACATGTTGTTGGGTCACTTCCCATACTTTATATCTCAGCCTAAATATCAATTCCACAAAGAAGATTTTATAACTACCTTATTTAACAACCTTTATACTCCTCCATAAAATTTTCTATTGGAGTACCTTATTTTCTTAAGAGCATGTGTAACAATCTATTTTTATATAGAAAGTTTATTGCAGATTATTGTTGTTTTCTCCTTGTCTATAATATAAGCTATAGATGTGAACAAATTATTTTTCTTTCACACATGCCATTATATTCCTATCGTCTATCACAATGTCTGACACATGAGTACACTGAGTTGATATCTATTAATTGAATGAATTAATGAAGTGAAATAAATTTGTTTCATTGCATCAGAAATACCATGTGTTCAAAGCTACAGAATTTTAGCATGGAAAATTTAAAATCAGAGAATATCACAATTTGTTTCATGCTTTTTAATCAATTATGGCAGATAAATAAGTGGCATACCAAAATAATTTTTGTGAAGTATGCTCAACATAAGAAGTATTAAAATAGAAAATATGATAAGATCAAAAATATTTCAAGTTATTACTTGCTTTTGTTTTCACACATAATAGTTTTCTCCTTAATGTCCTTTATTTTAGTATCCAGATGCTATAGGTTTGGAGGGATTTTCAGTTATTATAGCTCAACTGCTTGGCCTTAATGTAGGATTAACATATGATGATGTCACTCAGTGTTCCTGTATGAGAGCTACATGCATCATGAATCGTGAAGCGGTGTAAGATGTTTTCTTAATTAATTTTACTTATATTTTTATAAGGCTGTTTCCAAAATGCAATAAAGTTTTTAAACTTCTATTTGCAATACCACATAAATGGCTAGAAAGGTATATCACACTTGAAGAGATATCACACAAAAATTCTGTATACTTAGGGATATATACTATAGATTGATCTATATCTATGCACACACATGCACACACACACACACACCCCACTGACACCACATTCATATTCTTTTTTGTCATGTCCAATTTTTAAGTAGCGGTTTCAAAACTTAATTGTTTTGTACCTATCTTAAACAAAAATCTCATTTTGTAAGCAACACTTTTAATTTTCAGTTGAAAATTGTATGGTCCAAGTAGAAGATAATTTCTGAGTCCCTATTTATTTGTACACTAATTTTGTGTGAAGCGATTTCAGTGCCCAATATTTGTAGCTTTTTGCATGACAGTGCAAAAGTCTGGTGATACTTATTCATATTAAAACACAGTATTTTTAAATAGTAGTGAGAATTTGATTAAATAACATTATTCTGTGTAATATTTCTCTTACTTTTTCATGTTTGTTCCACACCAAATGGCTGTTAATATAAGCTAAAGCATTTCTCTTTGCTCTTAAACTTCCAACTCTGAAACTTTAGCAGCTCTGCATTTCTTTCCTTGGAGGCTTAGAGGACTACTCAGAACCTGTCATCTCAGATTTTGCTGTTTAAGTATTGCTGTCTCAGACACGACTGTCTAACATAGTGGTATAGTGCTCTCTAATACATAATTGTCTAATATGGTGCTGTCCAATAGAAATAAAATGTGAGTCACATATGTAATTTTTAATTTTCTAGAAGCTTTAACAATTAAAGGAATCAGATGAAATTAATTGTGGTAATATATTTTAATGATATAGCTTATGTAACCCAATAAATCCAAAATATTATCACTTTAACAAGTAACGAAAATAAAAATTGTGAATTGGTTATGTTATAGTCTAGCATGTATGTGTATTTGCATTGGGTATGGATTGTGAGACAAAGAACAGAGGCCAGGGTCACACCCGTGTTAGCCTTAGCAACTAAACGAATGCAGTATTCAGCAACTGAAGACAGACATGGTTGCGATAAGTAGTTCAATATCACATACTGTCTATTTGAAATATCTGTTACATCTATTAGACTTTTCTCCTAGATACTGTAGTAGAAATATGCCTGTGAACATGTAAATAAAGATCTCCCCGAGACTTATGTTTTAGTATAAAGTTTGGGTAATATAAAGTTTTGAAAATAAAAATTAATGAAGTTTATTTTTACATAATGCAAAAGTGCTATGTAGAAAAATATTGAAAGTAGAAGGAGAATAAAGAGGGGACACAATTGAAAATAGTGCTGTCAAGACAGATCTCTCTGGGAAGTAACATTTGAGCAGACGTCCCCCTGAAATGAAGGAAGAAAGCTTGAACTATACAACAGAAGAGCAACACACTGTGTAGAGGGAATAATAGATAGATTGTTAGATATAGAGATAGAGATATGTAAATACATAGATCTGTAGATACATAGATTTAACCACCATAACTTATTGCATTACTTTGATGGAAAAAATAGGTTTTCTTTTTAGAGAATGCTAAAGATAAGCAATATTGAAATTAAAAATTAATTATGGTTAGTTTAATCTCTGCTAAGGTATAGATACAGTGGTGGCTATCTTGTGATTTGCATGATTATGTTTGGAGTGTTGTTTGGATGTGGTTTTATTCACAAGGTGTATTTGCCTGAAGAATGTTATTTTATTTTAGGAGTGCCAGCGGTATAAAGATTTTTAGCAACTGCAGCATGCACGACTATAGATATTTTGTTTCAAAACTTGAAGTTAAATGCCTTCAGAAGTTTTCAAATTTGCAACCATTACATCAAAATCAACCAGTGTGTGGTAATGGGATTTTGGAATCCAATGAAGAATGTGACTGTGGTAATAAAGAGGTCAGTAACAAAAATTGAAACTTAAGCACAATTTGATGTCTCTGATAAAATGTAAAAAATGTTTGTCATGGTATATATAGAATGAAATATGCAATTATGCCATTAATTAATGACTAAAATATGATAATGAGGATGAGTTAAGATGTATGAATCATGTTTCCACCTCTCTCTCTCTCTGTCTCTCTCTCTCTCTCTATATATATATATGTATATAATTTTTTAAATTTTACTTTAGGTTCTAGGGTACATGTGCAGATTATGCAGGATTATCGCATAGGTACATACATGGCAATGCGGTTTGCTGCCTCCATCACCTACATTTCTCCCCATGCTATCCCTTCCGAACCTCCCCACCCTCCCACTATCCCTCCCCTGCCTCCCCAGCAGACCCTAGTGTGTGATGCTCCCCTCCTTTTGTCCATGTGTTCTCACTGTTCAACACCCATCTATGAATGAGAACATACAGTGTTTGATTTTCTGTTCTTGTGTCAGTTTGCTGAGAATGATGGTTTCCAGATTCATCCATGTCCCTACAAAGGACACAAACTTATCGTTTTTGATGACTGCATAGTATTATATGTTGTATATGTGCCACGTTTTCCTTGTCCGGTCTATCATTGATGGGCATTTGGGTTGATTCCAGGTCTTTGCTATTGTAAACAGTGCCACAATGAACATACGCGTGCCTGTGTCTTTATAATAGAGCAATTTATAATTTTTTGGATGTATACACAGTAATGGAATTGCTGGATCAACTGGAATTTCTATTTCTAGATCCTTGAGGAATCGCCACACTGTCTTCCACAATGGCTGAACTAATTTACTCTCCCACCAACAGTGTAAAACTATTCCTATTTCTCCCCATCCTCTCCAGCATGTCTCCTGCTTTTGTAATGATTGCCATTCTAACTGGCATGAGATGTTATCTCAATGTAGTTTTGATTTGCATTTCTCTAATGACCAGTGATGAAGAGCATTGTTTCATATGTTTGTTGGCCTCATATATGTCTTCATTTGAAAAGTGTCTGTTCATATCCTTCGCTCACTTTTGAATGGATTTGTTTGTTTTTTTCTTGTAAATCTGTTTTAGGTCTTTGTAGATTCTATTGTTTTAAACCACTAAGTTTGTGGTAACTTTTAACAGCAGTAATAGGACACAAACAAAATTATACTGAGTAGTACGTAAGTTATTTACTCTGATTTCTTAGTATACCACTGCTGAGATTTCCTTCTCAGAAACCTAAGTAAAAATAACATTGCATTAGGGAGTATTGAAAACAGAATAATGCTTCTGAAGAGTACCTTACATGCCCATCATCATTATAACCTGAACGTTGGTGGGCAGATGTTCTACTACAATTTTTCTTATTTGAATTGTGGAGAGGAGCACTTCATATATTCTCTAATCAACATTTTAAAATAATTTATTTTCAAAATTGAGGACAATATGAATAATAAATGTAAACAACACTTCACATTTCCAACTTGAGCTCTTGCTATAAAACATTTAAAATAGTTTTGGTGAATGAAAATATCTAAGTTAATATAGAAAGCCTCAGGGAAATTTGAGACAATTATAATCCTGTTTCTTCAAGTTAAAGAATTGATTAGATTTTTACATGAAAAATGGCCTAGAAATTCTCAATTTTCAAACATATTTTCTAAGGATCCCCTGATATTGAAATGACTAATTTTAAAAAGCAAATACTACAAATAGCAAGTATGTGTGTGACATATTATGAAAGAAAATCAAATTATAAACATTAAACTGTATAAAAGCAATAGCAACTACTAAAAATGTTAAAACTAAAAAGATGGGCAAGATATTCAACTTAATATAACCAATGAAGTGTTTCTGAAATATATAAAACAAAATACATGGAATATGTACATATCCATAGCCTATAAGCCTTTAATATACCTCTTTCAGGTTATCAAACAACTAATCGATTATCAGAAAATGTATAACAACAGTCACTAAAAAGCACAATGTAATAGCAAGGGAATTTTATAATGAATAAAAGAATATACATAATTTTCAAAATTCCATGGGTTATTTTAAAAATCAGTCATGCATTAGATCATGCTGAAAATAGTTATTTAAAAAATCTCAAAATAAACATGTATTCCCACAATATAATAAACCTGAATATTAACCTAAAACACATTGTCTCTGAATATCCACATGTGAAGGAAAAGAAATGCTTTATTTTTAAAGACATTTAAACTGAGGGGAAGGGTAAAGTCTTGAGCTTTTGTATGTGACTGAAGTTAATTTGTTATCAGTATAAAATAATTTATTGTAACTATAAGATGTCTTATTTAAGCCTTATGATAACCACAAAGCAAAAAACTATGGTAGGTGCCCAAATGAGAAAAAGATTAAAACTTAACACAAAAGAAAATCAGCAAATCACAAGGATAAACAACAAGAGAGGAAGCAAAGAACAAAAAGATCTGCAAAACAACCAAAAATCAACTACAAAAATTGGCAGTAGTAAATTCTTGCCTATAAATAGTTACTTTGAATATAAATGGATTAGATTATTGAATAAGAAGACACAGAGTAACTGAATGGACATTTTTAAATGATTAAATTATATGCTTCATCCAGGAGATCAACTTTAGCTTTAAGGATCCACATAGGCTGAAAGTAAAGGAATGGAAGAATATATTTCATGCAAATAGTAACCAAAAAAGAAAGGGGCAGCTATGTTAACAACAGATAAATAGACTTCAAGTTGGAAACAGTCACAAGAGACAACAAAAGACATTACTTAGTGAAAATGGTACAGTTCATCAAGAATACATAACAATTATAAATGTACCCAATAATAAAGTACCTAAATATATCAGAAAAGTATTAATGGGCATGAAGGGAGAAATAGATGGCCATACAATAATAGGAGAGGATTTTAATTATCCACTTTCAACAATGGACATGTCAATAAGACAGTAAATTAACAAGAAAGTAATGGAAGAGTTATTTTTAAAAGAATAATATGAACATTCTAGTCCTGTAATTAGGAAAATATAAAATAAGTATGAACAAAGTAATAATTTTAATAATAGCAAATGCAAACATTTATATTCAGTGAAATATTAATCCAATATTCTTCAAAAAGAGCTAAGCTACCAGCCCTGAAGTTGCCATCTTTAGAAAGACCTGCTTGTAAGGTTGGCCTTCAGTTCAGGTCTGGGAACTTGAAGTTTTAAATGTTCCATAGTTGATAGTGTTGATTTGCTTTCCTAGACTATGATGTTGAACAATTTAATTTATGATGGACACCTGATTCCTAATCTAGAATTTTGGTAATTATGACTGATCATTTAAGTACATGATCAGGATGCTGGTATGACCATACTCAAAAATGCTGAGTCTTAAATGGGTTTCCCTAGGCAGAAGCATTACATGCAATATTGCCTTTTTGCTAATAGAGAAGGGAGCATGCTCATTATGCTTTCTCTTAAACTGGGTTGATGAAATTTGTGTAAGGAATTTTGCAGACTTTATATGATATGTATTTTCCCCTTACTAATCTAGGTGTGTATTCTTGCTCTGCTGTTGTAATAAATCTTATATGCTAATCAAACTGTCTTCTAAGTCCTATAAACCTTTCTGGCTAATCATCATTCTCTGTGTGGTATTGGGGACCCTGGAAATATTGATGAATTAACTTTGGCATTGTTATTATGTAAAGCTAAAGAAACATGTAAGGGACATTTAGGAATGATAAAGAGAACATTAAAATATGAAGCATATTTAAGATATTAATACATTCTAATGTCTTCATAATATTGGTGATTTTATAATATAAATTTAAAGTATTAATTTATGAGAGTAGTCAGAAGTGTTACAATTATTGAAATATTAATAAATTACCAAAAATATATAACAAAGGTTTAAAGCATCTATGGAATATTTCTAATCTTGAGTAGTATTTGAGGGTTAAAAATTAACAAATTATTTTTATTCCTTTATCAAGCACAGTGTTGATTTTTTAGAGTGCATAATTGTGAATAATATAATGACTACCAGATTTAATTTATACTATGGCCTCAGCAGTTTTATCTGCTGGTGCATTTGCATGGTGAATGCAAATGCCAGCACAAAAGAAAAGTCAAATAACATCTAAGTATTATTAAGAAAAATGTTTTCACTTCATAGATCTACTGAAAATATTTTTGAGACTCCCTAAGACCTTTCAACTACGTTTGGAAAACTTCCCATTTAGACTAACTGATAGACAATAAAGACTCAATATTCAACTCATGACAGTAGTAAAGAAAAATTCAACAACACACACACACATGCACACAAAGTTTAACAAACATTGATGCAAATTTCTATAATATTAGCAACTAAATCCAGAAGAATAATCAGAATAAAAATATCTTAACCAAGTTAAGTTTACTCTGAGGAACACAAACTAAGTAAATGTATCCATTAGAGGATTACACTAAACAATTTTTTAAAACAAATGTATTCTTATCACAACTGATAGAGAAAAAAACTAAATACCCTTTCCTTAAAAAAACATGCTTGGGACCAGAACTTATCCTCAATTTGGGGAAACTTTCTGCCAGTAAATTACCAAATTTTATACATAGTAGTGAGTCATTACAAGCATATCCACCATATTTGACAGTAAGTAAGAATGACCATAATCATCACTGGAATGCATCAACTTAGAAAACATAGAAATGACTTTACTTACTGGAAAAAAAAAAAAAAAAGAAACATTTATTAACTGAACACAGAAATTTCTGCAAAATATAAAACAATCTTATGAAAATAATAAAACAAATGAGAATTCAGAATCAGGCTGAATATAAAAATGGGAGAGAAACTGAGACATGGGTCACCATCTGTGGAAGCCTGACCTGCAAACCCTGACTCAATGATAGATCAGTGAATGCACTCTCACACCATTATTAATGTTTCAATTGAACTAGGGATGGTGGTTGACTGCCTTCAGAAGGGAAAATGCAACCAGTCG